ATCGTAAATATAGGTGGTGGAAGCTGCTACATCGTGGTGGGGCAGGAGCTGAGGAATCTCTGCCAGCTGTACAGCCTGTGTAGGCCATCGCAGTCGCCGTCGTCGTCTCCCTCCTCCTCCCTCCTCCTGCTCCCGCTCATCCACCTCCCCCTGCCCTTGCCCATCCCCGCCCCATTATCGGGCCGAACGAGGGGGGGGGGATAGGGAAAAGGGGGGTTACGAAATCTGCTGCGTGCAGCTGGTTTCGGCCCCGCCGCCTGGCCCATTTCTCGATACATGGGCGCCTCCCGGCGCCGGGAGGCGCCCGGAAAATCAGCTACGTGAGCTGATTCTCAAACCCCCATTTGCTATCCCCCCCTTTCGCCCAGCCCGACAGCACTCTTGCGTCACCCCCTCCCTCCCCCCCTCGGGTGTGGACATGTGCCTCCTTTGGCAACCGCCCTCTGATCAAAATTGACTGGGGACGAGACTCGGCGCGGGCAGGCCCGCAAAAAACTACGGCCACCACGTTACCTCGAGAGCAGGGAAAACCAATTCGCTCATCGGCCCGGCACGGTTGGGGTTGCATTGTGGAAGTCGATTACTGGAGAGGAAGCATGCTGCCAAATAACTTCCAGATGTCTAACAATTTGTCAAACATGTTTTAAACATGTAAAAACATGTTTGGAACATGTTTAGAACATGTTTTATTCAATGATCGAATTGTTAGATTGCCCGTTGTCATGGCATCCACAGGGTTTGCATCAACCTCCGATTCCCCGCCCCCCCCCGCCCCTCTCCGACGTCCTAGGCCTTTACCTTAACGCTGCAGCCCGCGAGCGTTCTGGGTCCCTACAGGCCGCGCCCAGGGAGGGGTGGGTAGTCTCCCTACCCCTGCTTCGCAGAAGCGGCACCTCCCGCCACAAGAAGTGGGCGCGGCGGAGCCTGCTCCCGCGCGCCCGGACGGACACTCCGCCCGAACTGTTGCGATCTCATCGGCGCGAGCGTCGGTCCTGACATTCGTCAGGCAGTGAGCGAGTTGTGGTCGGAACGTTCAGCGGAGTACGAGATAGACTACGTCGGCGGGCGAGGATTAGCTCGCCCGCTTCCGAGCGGTGCAGAAGGCTGGCCACGCATTCATCACCTTGTGCGTAGCACAGAAGGAATGACTCCTTGTCTGGGTCGAAACGGGTGCGCGGGGAGTATTTGAAGAAACCCGCCGGCACCACAAGCTCAAAATCAATACTTGAAGGCTCCAGAGGGCGAGCGGCGCCTGGTGTCCTACATTAAGATTCCTTATAACAAACATGCGATCGGCGCCCCCGAAGCCTCGACCCCTGGTAATTGCCACAGGATCCGCGTCCTCGATGCCCCCAGGCGCTCCCCATCGCTCACATACGCTCCAGGAGCGCCCAAACGCTCCCAAGCGGCCCCAGGCGCTCCGCAAACGGTCCCAAGCGCTAAGCGCTCCCAGTCGCTCCCAAATGCTCCTAGGCGCCCCCAGGCGCTCCCAAACGATCCAGGAACTCAAACCCTCCCAGGCAGCGCCAGGCGCTCCCCAGGCGGCCCCAGGCGTTTCCAGCGCTCCGAAACGCCTGAAATGTTCCCAGGGTCCTCCAGACGCTCCAGGCCCAGGCGCTCCTCGGCGGTTCCAGGCTCTCCTTAGGCGGCCCGAAGCGCTTTGCAGGCACTTCCAGGAGTCCCGAACTGCCAGGCGCTCACAGGCAATCCAAGATGTTCCGGGAGCGCCCCAGCGCTCCCGAGCAGCCCCGGGTGCTCCCCGGGCGGCCCCGGGCGTTCCTAAACGCCCCCGCACGCTCGCAGGTTCTCAGGCGCTCCAGGAGCGCTCGCAAGCGTCCCAGGCGCCCCCGAGCACTCCCAAGCGCTCGGAAACCTACAAGTCGTTCATTTCTAATCATGCTCATTTCTAATTCTGGCCGTTTCTAGTTCTTCCTGGCCCCCTAGTGCCCAGGACAGAAGAATTAGAAATGAGAGGATCTTGGCACCCAAAAAAAACAAGAACTTTCGAATACTTAGAAATGAACAGTGTGTAAGGAAGCCCCATCAGGCCCAAGAAATCTCAGGAGGTCCCGGGAGGCCTTAGGAGGCCCCAGAGGAGACTTCAAAACACCCGAGGGGGAGTCACAGGAGCCCCCAGGGATCCACAGAAACCTTACGGGAAACCCCGGCCGACGCGGCCTGACGGACACCGACAAAAACAACCCAATGCCACCAGCCCTCTGGGAGTAGGTAGTCTAGAGCGGTTTCTCTTCCAACCCCTCCATCTTCCCTTTTGGGAAGGGCTTTACCCCTCCCCCTACCCATTCCCTGGACCTGGAGGGGGGTGTGCCGAGGCGTTGGAGCTTCCAACATGGCCCAAGATGGCTCTAGGAGGGCCTCGGAGAGCCCCAGATGACCTCCAAGATGGTTCCAGATAGCCCGAGGTGGCCAAAGATGGCTCCCAAGATGTTCCAAGAGGCCCCTAAACCGCTCCAAGACGGCTCCGGGTGGCCACGGAGCCTCCCCAGGAGGCCGCTAAGAGGCCAACATCCTTCAACCACCTTAAGAAAATCAATGAAGTTCGCTCTTTCGCCTGGTTGCTTTGGATGGTCTTCCGAGGCTTCAAGATGGCTCCAAGATGGCCCAAGAGGGCCTCAAGAGAGGCTCAAGAGCGCCCCCAAACGGCCCCAAGAGCACCCAAGAGCGCCCCAAGAGCGTTCCAAGAGGTGTCCAAGATGCGATTTGTGGGGCTACTGAGGGGGGCCGTAATTCACCCCCCCTTCTTTGATCGATCTCCTCCAAGATGGCCCCACAAACGCACCCAAGGCTCCCAAGAGCGTTTCAAGAGGGCCCCAGGAGGCGGTCATGAGGCCCCATGAAGCGCCCAAGAGGCCTCCAAGCTCGCGAGAGGCTCCCAAGAAGCCCCAAGAGGCTCACCGAGACACCCAAGACGCTCCAAGAGGCCTCCGGGACTGCCAAGAGGCTCCCAATACGCCCAACAACTCGCCATTGTTCTCCTACTTCTCGTCCTCCTCCTCCTCCTCTTCATCCGCCTAGTTCTCCCCCTCCCTTCTCCCTCCTCCCCTCCTCTTCCTGCTCCTCCGCCTGCTCCTCCTGTTCCTCCTGCTCCTCTTGCTCGTCCTGCTCCTGCTCCTGCTCCTATTCCTGCTCCTGCTCCTGCTCCTGCTCCTCCTCCTGCTCCTGCTCCTCCTGCTCCTGCTCCTGCTCCTGCTCCTGCTCCTGCTCCTGCTCCTGCTCCTGCTCCTCCTCCTCCTCCTCCTCCTCCTCCTCTCCCTCATCTCCCTCGTCCTTCTTCCCCGCCTTTCCTTATCCGGCAGGTCCGCGAAGGCGCATGCGGCTCGCTCCTAGGTCTCACAGGCTGATCCAAGACTTCAGTGTTACGGCTTCCCCGGGTCTTGAGCTACTGCATGCTCCTCCGATTCCCTGATTAAGGCAACTCGTCTGGGCATCGTTTGTGGATGGGCTGGTGGGGATACGCACAACGTCAAGAATGTGTTTTCTTGCAAGCCGCCCACCCTCCCCCGCGCGGTGGTCGCGTCGCGATCCTCATATGAGGCGCGTATGCGGCGCACCCACAAACACATCCACGCGCGCGTGTCCAGTCGCGCAGCGAGGCGCCATCACTTTCGCGGATCGAGACCACGGCGCCGAAATATCATTCCGCCGATGCGACGCGCGAGCCGTCCCCCGCGCGCCCGAGCGCTGCCAACTCGCAAGAGGAACCTGCATGGCGCCGCGCGCCGAGCCCCGCGCGTGAACTTGCGTTCCGAAGCCATGGCCGATGCGGCGCGCGAGTCTTCTCCTTCGCGCGCGAGCGCTACCCAGTTGCGAGAGGAAGCTGCTTGACAGCGCGCGCCGACGCCCACGAGAAAGTCGTTTGCTGACACGGCTGGCGACGCGACGCGCGAGTCCTCGCTCGTGCGTTCGAGCGCTGCTCAATCCCGCGATCCCGCGAGGAGTCTGCCTGGCGTCGCACGCCGACCTCAGCGCGATAATCAACTGTCTGAGATTTTCGCCGATGCTACGCGAGAATCCTTCCCTGCGCGCGCGAGCGCTACACGATCGCGCGCGGAGGCTGCTTGGCGTTGCGCACCGGCCCCATCGCGAGCATCGTGCGCCCAGACCGCCGCCGATGCGACGCCCGAGTTCCTCGGGCGCGGCCTAAGGGTGCTCAAGAAAGCCCTTCGGCTTTTCTTGCAGACCTCCCGCCTCCCCCCGCGCGATGGTCGCCTAGCGATGCGCCCGCATGTGCGCCGTCGTTCGACATTCGTTGCTCGCCGTTCGTCGACAAGCGTCGTCCTGGTCACCATTTGTTGTTCGTCGTTCGTCGTTCGTCGTTCGTCGCTCGTCGTCGTCGTTGTCGTCGTCGTCGTCACTCGTCGTCGTCGTCGTCGTCGTCGTCGTCGTCGTCGTCGTCGTCGTCGTCGTGGTCGCCGTCATCGGTCGTCGGTCGTCATTCGTAGCCCGTTTGTAATCCTTTGTCGTTGGTCGTTCGCCGCCCTCGTCGTTCGCCTATGGTCGCGCAGCAGTACATCCGCGGAGAAGTGCGACGCATGCCATTTTCCCTGTTTAAAAGAACATCGTGGGGGTGGAGGCGAGCATGGAGCTCACTCTCGGGCGCATCCGAGGCAGGGTGGGGGGGCTGGGACACGAGCGCCGCGAGCGCGCACCAACGCACACCACCCCCAACAATTTAGTCGGAGGGGTGGCATGCGTGCGCGCGTTCTTCTTCACCACTCTCTCCTTCTCTTTCTCTCTCTCTCTCTCTCTATATATATATATCTCTCTTTATGTATGTCTCTTCTCCTTCTCTCATTCTCTCTCTCCCACTCTTTCTCTGTCGCTCCCTCTCTCCATCTCGTTTTGTTTTTTCTGTTTTCCTCTCTCTCTCTCTTATCTCTCTCTCTCTCTCTCTCTCTCTCCCGCTCTCTCTCTCTCGCTATCCCCTACTCCTGCCCCCCCCCCCTCCTTCGGCAAAATGAGCGCTGCGGCCGGCGCGCCGGCGGCAGGCCCTCCGCCGGCAGCGTGCCCCTCGCCAGCGCGCCCGAACTCGCGGAGGGCGCGCTCGGCGTGCTCCGGCCGGCAGCTCCCTGCCCTGCGAGACCGGGTCTCTGCTTGGCCCCCCGGGGGTGAGGGGCAGCGATGGGGGGGGCAACTCAGGTCAGACCAGACGCTGCTGCTGCTCTCTCCTCCTCCTCCTCCTCCTCCTCCTCCTCCCTCCTCCTCCTCCTCCTCCTCCTCCTCCTCCTCCTCCTCCTCCTCCTCCTCCTCTCTCCCTCTCATGCCCATGGTAGCGGGATAGGTCGCCGTTTCGTCCTGGACGCACAGAGACATACTAATACTATATGTCCTCCTTGGAGGCGCGCGCCCGGCCCGAGCATGTAGTATACCCAGCTTGTGGTACATCGTTTCCCGAACGGCGTGGCCAGAAAGCGCCCACCACGACGCATATATTACAAGATTTCTCGGTGCGCGCGTCGCCCCTGGGGGGGCGACGCACATGTAGTAGAAGTATGTTGGGGTGACGCCGAGTGAGGGGCAGCGATGGGTGGGGGACTGGCACTGGGGTCAGGTCGGGCATCTCCCCACTACAGGGGGGATTTTGGACGAAAGATAAAAAGAAAATAGTCCAAACATGCCCCCTGAAAATGCTCACGCATACTCGAGGCATCGTCCCCAGACTAGAGTCTGACTATCCTCGAATATTCCTCCTGTAGGGGAACGCGCCCGACTTAACACTGGGGGGGCACATCGACCTGGAATCGGCGATACATCGCCGATAATTCGGGGATAGGCCCCCGATTTTAAATCCCCGTGTTACTGGGCGGGGTGGACCTATCAGAGCCCCATCGGCGATCGATGGGCGATGGGGGGTCGATGCGTCCCCCCTATGCCTACTCCCCCCTTATCGTTGCCCCTGAGGAGGAGGGACTCGTGGCGCAAAATCATATTTCCCAACCATCCTGTGGTGTTGGGTCCTCGTTTTGAAGAGACAGCGCCCCGCGTTCACTCCTCCTCCCGCTGCCCCCTCCCTCCTGCCACCATCACTCCGTTTCGTGGCCCCATAGAAAGCTCCAGCGAAGGCCCCAGTGGCTGCGCTCCCATGCGCCCGCCGCACCCATTTCGGCACACCCCTCACACGTTTCGTGGCCCCATAGGGAGCTCCAGCGAAGGCCCCAGTGGCTGCGCTCCCATGCGCCCACCGCGCCCATTTCGGCACACCCCTCACGCGCTTCCTGGCCCCATAGGGAGCTCCAGCGAAGGCCCCAGTGGCTGCGCTCCCATGCGCCCGCCGCACAGATTTCGGCACACCCCTCACAAGTTTCGTGCCCCCATAGGGAGCTCCACCGAAGGCCCCAGTGGCTGCGCTCCCATGCGCCCGCCGCACCCATTTCGGCACACCCCTCACACGTTTCGTGGCCCCATAGGGAGCGCCAGCGAAGGCCCCAGTGGCTGCGCTCCCATGCGCCCGCCGCGCCCATTTCGGCACACCCATCGCACGCTTCGTGGTCCCATGGGGAGCTCCAGCGAAGGCCCCATTGGCTGCGCTCCCATGCGCCCACCGCGCCCATTTCGGCACACCCCTCACGCGTTTCGTGGCCCCATAGGGAGCCCCAGCGAAGGCCCCAGTGGCTGCGCTCCCATGCGCCCGCCGCGCAGATTTTGGCACACCCCTCACACGTTTCGTGGCCCCATAGGGAGCTCCAGCGAAGGCCCCAGTGGCTGCGCTCCCATGCGCCCGCCGCACCCATTTCTGCACACCCCTCACACGTTTCGTGGCTCCATAGGGAGCCCCACCGAAGGCCCCAGTGCCCGCGCCCACGTGCGTCACCCACATCCATGTCGGCACACCCCTCACACGTTTCGTGGCCCCATAGGGAGCTCCACCGAAGGCCCCAGTGCCCGCGCCCGCATGCGTCACCCACACCCATTTCGGCACACCCCTCACACGTTTCGTGGCTCCAACGGGAGCTCCACCGAAGGCCCCAGTGCCCGCGCCCGCATGCGTCAGCCACACACATTTCGGCACACCCCTCGCACGTTTCGTGGCTCCATAGGGAGCTCCACCGAAGGCCCCAGCGCCCGCGCCCGCATGCGTCAGCCACACCCATTTCGGCACACCCCTCACACGCTTCGTGGCCCCATAGGGAGCTCCGCCGAAGGCCCCAGTGCCGCGCCCGCATGCGTCAGCCACACCCATTTCGGCACGCCCCTAACGCGTTCAGTGGCCCCATAGGGAGCTCAGCCGAAGGTCCAGTGGGTGTGCCCGCATGCGTCCCGCACACTCATTTCGGAACACCCCTCACACGTTTCGTGGCCCCATAGGGAGCTCCACCGAAGGCCCCAGTGGGTGCGCCCGCATGCGTCCCGCACACCCATTTCGGCACACCCCTCGTACGTTTCGTGGCCCCGTAGGGGGCTCCACCGAGAAGATATTCACAATTGCAATATTATTGCATATGGTTGGGTCCTTCGCCAGGATATTTTTTTTCTCCACGGGTTCGATCCCCCTTTGGCCTCGGGGGGCCTCCCCACACCTACGGCGTCGCGGAACAAGTGACAACGAGCTTGTTCTTTTGTCAACTGCGGCGTCGGGGGGTCGTTCTCGGATCAAGGACCAAATAAAACATTCGACTTAAAAATAGCCTGGAGGATGGTGTCGCGAGCTCGTGTGCCCACGCCGTAAACAAAAAACACGCCTGGGGTCTCAGCCCCCTAGCTGGGATCCACCCCTGTCCGACAAGGCTTCCGTGCTGGTCGACGCAGAGGCCCTGACTGTGCCAAGACACGGCGCCGACCCCGACCACGACGCCAACGTCGGTATACGGGCACGCCTTCTCATGAACGCGTGTCCGCACATTGCTGACAGCATGTCTGTTTGGGTCGGCTGCTTCGGCGACACCATTACTTGCGCCCGCAGGTGCAACCAGGCAACTTACGCTGGGAGAGCGAATCAACAAGCAGACGAGTCTGAGCAAAGCGGCCAGGTACACGGGTACACTACACACTTTCGGTCAAGCAATTCGAATCGTCTGGCCGATGCGCCTTCGGCGGGCATCGGCATAGCTTTCAACACTCGCAACTAATTAGAAGACGTGCGGGGGACAATCATACTGATGCTGTAACACCACCGGCGCAAGCGTAAAACATCACAAGCTGAACTTCGGTGGGGGTTATTGAGCGATGTTGGGAATTAGATGCCCAGGTGGAAAATAAGTCGCAAGCACGACCAGACGGAGTTCGCAAACGCGCCCCCGAGGCCCCGAGGTGTCCCCGAGACGTCTCAGAGATAGTAGAAACGTGCGCGCATGTGTGTTAATATGTTTCGCAGGCGTGTAAACATATTTACACACATATACTAGAACCACGCGCGAGCCACGCGCGCGCCTAGGTTCTAACTGGCCCCAACAACGGTATTAGGGTGGCACGTTTCCGACCCCGTGACGTCGTCCTAAACGCCCTAACACTATATCACCATGTCGCCCGAACGCTAATCCCCAAGCCCGAACACCTGGCCTTCGGGGGGGCCTCCTCGGAGGCCGCAGCTGGGCGCGGCTCGAGAAGCAACGGCGCTCGGACCCCGGGGCGTGTCCCGAGACCTGCTCTGGGCGGGTGTCGAGGTTGGGGGTCCCCAGACGCCTCCGTGGTCCAGGCGCCTCAATTCTGCGCGCGGCGCCGGCCCGCGGCTCTGGAGGTTCCCTTGGGCGATGGGCCGCCTTGGGACCGTCTTGGAAGCCTCCGGGTCAGTTTTGGGGCGAGCTTGAGGGCCTCCTCCTCCTCCTCCTCCTCCTCCACCTGCTCCTCTTCCTTTTTTCCAGTGCGTTCTGACCGTTATGGAAGGGAGCCCGGCTGCGGCGATGAAAGCGCCCTGCGCGATGGAAGCGCCCAACACAAGCACAGAGAAAACCATAGAGAAGCCTCGAGCTCCCAAACTTGCTCTGCCATCACCGACGGAGGGGGCGGTGTGAAATGAGAAGGAGTGCGCGGGCACTCAGGACGGACCCAAGAAGGCGCGCAGAATGGCCGCGAGGGCGCAGGGTAACCCAAATGAGGCTGCAAAGCTCGAAAGACGGCCCGGCGGAATCATTCGAAAATCTTTAGACGGGGCAATCGGACGTGTAGCTTCGAGATGAGATGGAGGAGGTGTGAGATAACAAAACGAAAATGGTAGGAGCTGGGAAGGCCACAGGAAGGAGAGTGAGAAACAGCGTACGTAGGGGGTGTGCGAAAGAGACAGGAATGGCCTTCGGCCCATCCCGCCACCGTGCCTGGGTTGTAGGTCAAACTCCTGCAGGGTGATCGATGGGATGTCGAGGGAGGCATCGCGGGGGCTTGGGGGAGTTGGGCCTCTTGGGGGCCGTTTTGGGGCCTCCTAGGGGCTTATTGGGGCGGAAGACTAAAATTTTCGGTTCATGTTCCCCCTCTGCCGCCTGTTGTTGGCGCAATGGGCTGCACACTTGGCGCGTACCCAATGGGCGAAAATTCCAACACGCCCTCCGGCCGAAGCTCTACATGCCGCCACGCTGGTCCCGGGCAGGCTGTGCTGGCCGGCGGCAGGGGACGAGGAAAGGAGAAGCAAGCAGACAACAACAAACGCGCAGGCGGGAGGCCAGGGCCGGCGGGGCGAGCGGGCAGGCAGAAGAGGGGGCAGGTGGAGACAGCAGGCAGGGAGCAGGAGAAAAGGAAAGGGAGGGAACCAACGTCTTTGGGCCCTCTTGGGCCGTCTTGGGCGCCCCTGGGGCCGTCTTGGGACCCTGTTGGGCCGTCCTGGGGCTCTCCTGGGGGCCTCGTGGCTCGTCTTGGGGCGGTCTTGTGGGCCTCTTGGACTGACCTCGATTGTCTGAAACTCGAAAATGGAAGAACCCCCAAACATGGGAAAAAACCCGAAAGGAATCAACGATTTTTGCCTCCCAGGGCACTCGTCTGGGGCCTCGGGCGCCCGCTGAAGCCTGCCCGCAGCTTGGAAGCCTTCCAAGGCCGTTCACAAGGCATCTTCGGCGCCCTCGGGGTGTGATGGACAGGTTCAGTAGGTGGTCGTACCAAGTTTTGGGCTATCTGTGCGCCCGAAGGGCCACTTTGGAGGTCACCAGGGCGCTCGTGGGGTCTCCAGAGCCCCCATGCCACGCCGTGCACGGCCGTGGTTCCTGGCCCACACCCGGCCTACTCCGATGTTTGTATGTGTATATATATATATATATACATAAACACATACAGGCACACATACACACAAATATACCTACCTACCTACCTACCTACCTACCTACCTGCATACATACATACATACATACAGACATACAAACATACATACATACATACATGCATACACGCATACATACATACATACATACATTGACCCACAGGGACGTACACATAAATTTATACATGCACACACACACACATACATCAATACATTCGCACACACATACACACATACCTACGCACATATCTACATGCATACATGCATGCATACATACTGGCATGCACACGTACACACGCGCATACAAACCATCAACCATACAAACATACATACATACGCGTGTAGATCCATACATGAGTACACACATAAACACCTACATACATGCATGCATATACATCCAGTCATACATACATACCTACCTATACACATACGTACATACGTACATGCATACATACCTACACACCTGCACACGCATACATACATACCTACCTACACACATAAACACACATACCCCCACACACAGACACGCATACTCATACATACACATACACACATGCACACATGCACACATGCACACATGCACACATGCACACATGCACACATGCACACATGCACACATGCACATACACATACACATACATACATACCTACACCAATACCTATATATGCATGCATGCATGCATACATACATCCGTCCATACATACATACATACGTATACACCAACATACATACACACATACACACGCACATACATACATACATACAAACAAACACACATACACACATACATACATACATACATACATACATACATACATACATACATACATACACACGTACATACTCACATCAATACATACAGACAGACATACGTACGTATGTACATACATCCATACATACAACTACATACACAGACATACACACAAGCATACGCACACACATATATAATATAAAATATGGAATGCGTGTGTGCATACAGCTCTCCAGCAACATCATCTCCATGGTCCAGGTGCGTGCCTTGGCTCCCCGTCCCATCTGGGGTGTACGTTAGAGCTCTGAGGCCCATCGCACCTGAGGGGAAATAGGAATCCTCAACCTTGGATCATGCGCGCGCGTGAACAATCAAGTATGCGACCATGGCTGAGTTTGGGAGGGGAGGAGGCGGGGAACATGAGGGTTTAGGGCATCTGCGCGGTTCCGAATCTGACTGAAGTCGACGTGTTCGCCTAAAGCCTCGAGATCAGCCGAGATACGCCTGCAAATCAACTTCTACTGCCTCCCCACCAAATACTTTGATGTTACGTCTAGCCTACCGGAACGCATTCCCACGGGCATTGGCCTCGTTGGTACCCCTCCCAGCAGCCGGTGGAGCGGCGAAACCGAGCAGTGTCCTCGCTGCTTGACGGATCGTCATCTTGGCCTTCTCAAGTTGGCCGGCGGTCGACTTGGCGCGAAGGAAAGCCTTCAGCTTCTCGACCTGAGGGGGGAGGAGGAACACGGGAGCCGCAGCAGCAGCAGCAGCAGCAGCAGCAGCAGCAGCAACGCGACCACACCGAAATCCTTCCCGAACCACCTTTTTTTCGAAGCATGTCAACACCGAGCTCATCAAAAACGTGATTATGCAACACAAATTGTTTTTCCAGTGGAATGTTTGCCTGGGCTCTTGGATGTCCGCGCGGGCACTCCTTCAACATCACCGTCGACAGCGTCGCCACATCATGTCATCGTCAGCAACCGTCGCCGCTGCAATTGCCGTCGTCGTCGTCGACCCAGCACGGTTACCAGTGACACGAAGACATCATCGCCGTCGGCGTTACCAACTTCGGCTCCGACGTTGACCGTGCCGTCGACATCGTCATCATCGCCACTACCATCGCTACAATCATCATCGTCGCCGCCGGTGTCGACGTCATCATGGTGCCGCGCCCGCCCAAACCAACGATCCGCATTGAAATCCCTGCGCGCCAGCGCGGCTTTTGACGCGCGCTAGGACGTTGCCATCAGCAACGGCCATCGCGGCTGCATCATCGATGGTGCCAACCCAGCTGGCCGCTTTGCGCGCGAGCTTGCGCACGCCAGCGCGGCCGCAAAGATGCCAGGAATGGCCACGCAATCATCGCAATTGCCGCCGCATGGGCAAATCAAGTTGCGGGTGAGAGGGTGGGATGATTGCGCGAGCAGTGACATTGACAACTCATGAGTTGGCAGCAATGAATTCTCCTTTCGAAAAAGAGAATAGACTTCCCCCCCCGGCGTTATCGGTCCCCCTTTCGGGTATGTTATGATTCTGACCACATGCCCATCCCAAATATGAGTTTACACTATCCCCTTGGGGCCAGTATCGCTCCCTCTGAGGTTCCGTTGTGAAAAACGATTTTTGTTTTGTTCGAACATAAGACTTGTTCGCGAATCCCTCGCAAAACATGGGGCGAAGTGCACACGCGCGCGTCGTCGCGCGCGCATGCCGAAATCCTTCAAAAACCTCCGGTGTCGGAAGGATTTCGCAATCGAGTTCCCCAAAACATACAAAACACATGTTTTCGCAACACTGATGTGCTAAAGAAGCTTACGCGCGAGCTCATGCGAAATCTTGAGAAAACCATTGTGTCTTTGTTTTCAAGATTTTCGCAAAATGCTACCAAACGGGCTTCGCACGCGCATGTCGAAATCTGTCGAACGCCCTTGCGCGTGTGCCGTCGCGAGAATCCTCTGCAAAAAAACGGGACGAGGTGCAGACGCGCACGTCGTCGCGCGCGTATGCCGAAACCCTTCAAAACACATCGGTTTCGGAAGGATTTCAAAATCGTGTGCCCAAAATACATACAAAAACATAAGGTTTCTCAACACGGATTTTCAACAAAAGCGTGCGCGCGCGCTCTTGCGTCGTCGTCGTCGTCGTCGTCGTCGTCGCCGTCCTCCCTCCTCCCGCGTCGTCGTCGTCGTCGTCGCCTACGTCGTCCTCTGTCTTTCCTCGTGTTCGTCGTCGTCGTCCTCTTTGGCGTCGTGGTCGTTTCCGTCGTCGTTGTCGCCGTGGTCGTCCTTCCTCCTCCTCCCTCGTCGTCGTCGTCGTCCGTCGTCGGCGTCTCGTCGTCGTCCCTCCAATTTCGTCGCCGTCGTCGTCGTCGTTGTCGTCGTCGTCTTCCCTCCTCCCTCGTCGTTGTCGTCGGCGTCGCCGTCCTTCATCCTTCTTCGTCGTTCGCGTCGTCGTCGTCCTCCCTCCTCCCTCGTCGTTGTCGTCGTTGTCGTCGTTGTCGCCGTCGTCGTCCTCCCTCCTCCCTCGTCGTCGTCTTCGTTGGCGTCGTCGTCGCCGTCTTCGTCGTCGTCGTCGGCGTCGGCGTCGTCGTCGCCTTTGTCGTCGTCGACGTCGGCGTCGTCGTCGTCGCCGTCGTCGTCGTCGTCGCCGTCTTCGTCGTCGTCGTCGGCGTGGGCGTCGTCTTCGTCGTCGTCGACGTCGGCGTCGTCGTCGTCGCCGCCGTCGTCGTCGTCGTCGTCGTCGTCGTCGTCGTCGTCGTCGGCGTCGTTGACGTCGTCGTCGTCGTCGTCGTCGGTGTCGTCGTCGTCGTCTTTGTCGGCGTCGTCGAAGTCGCTGGAGACGTCGTCGGTGTCGTCGTAGTCGTTGTCGGCGGCGTCGTCGTCGTCGTTGTCGTCGTCGGCGTCGCTGTCGTTGCCAAGTGCCATTTGGTACCCACCGTCACGGTCTTAAGAGATTTTGCAAATCAAGTTACGGGTGGGTGGGTGGGATAATTGCGCGAGCAGTGGAGTTGACAACTTCATGTTCGGCAAGTGAGATGCACCACGTAGGTTGCAACACCTAAAGTGCATCCAACAGCTTGCGCCTCATCGACTCCACCACCTGGTATGCTAGAACCCACCGTTTGGGTTTCACGCTTGTTAACGCACACATACACATACACATGCGTTTCCCGAACAGTGGTTGCACTTAGGGGTTCTTACTTGTGTTCTAACGAACTCGGCCTGCGCGGCGGTCTGGCGGCTATTTGGCCGCCGTCGCCGCCCCGTCGCCGCCCGTCGACTTGGCCAGCGCGTCGGTCTGGCGGCTATGTGGCCGCCGTCGCCGCCGCCGTTGCCGCCTCGTCGCCGCTCGTCGTCTGGACCTGCGCGGCGGTCAGGCGGCCATGTGGCCGCCATGTCGCCGACGTCGCCGCCTCGTCGCCGCCTCGTCGCTTGGTCGCGCCCCGGCCCTGGGGGGGGGTCCTGGGGCCTCCTGAGGTCCCGAAGGGACTCGATCACTCCAGGGTTAGGTCGGGCATGTCCTCCTACAGGCGGGTCTTAGGCGAAAAATCATAAAATAGTCCAAACATGCACAAAATAGGCAAACATTGTAGAAAAATCGTCCCGAGACTATTTTTGAGTATTCCTCCTGTAGAGGGACAGGGCCGACTGAACCCCAGGGCTCTGCTGAAGGTCTGGACGCTCCGCGGGAGCCACCGGCGAGAGCCCCTGCAGACGCCTCCGCCGCGCTCCCCTGGGGCCCACCGGCGAGCCTGCCGACAAACCCAAGGGGGCCCTCCTGGGGGCCCGCCGACATGCCCAGGGGGGTCACCGACAAGCCCCCCCCGGCCCGTCTGCTCGCCTGCCCCCTGCTCCTCCTGCTCCTCCTCCTCCTCCTCCTCCTCCTCCTCCTCCTGCTCCTCCTGCTCTTCCTGCTCCTCCTGCTCCTCCTGCTCCTCCTGCTCCTCCTGCTCCTCCTGCTCCTGCTCCTGCTCCTGCACCTCCTCCTCCTTCTCCTCCTCCTCCTCCTCATACCCCCTCGGCGACCGGGCCCATCTGCCTGTGTGGGCTCACGTGGGCGTGGGCGAGCGTCAAGCGATGACTCCCGCACGCTATGGTGGAGCGGGGAACGCGCGAGGGCCCGGAGACGCGAACGCGCAAGGGCCAGAGAAGGCACACGGCGAAGGGAGAGACGACCGAGGGAACAATCGAGGCCTGAAAGCCCGAAGGGACAGAGCAAACCAGCGACGAGTCCGAGTCAAGCGCGCAGGCAAGCTGCACGATGCAGGTGCAGACGGCGCGGCGAGGCGGGGACGCGTGAGCGGTCCCCTCCCACGGCCGAGCGGCCTCGTCGTGGCCGTCCGCCGCCGCCGCGGGCGGCTGCTCCACGGGGGCGCCGGAAGACGCGGCCGCGGCCTGTGAGGGGGAGACCCGGGGGAGGAAGGAGAGCGGGGGCGGGGGGTCCCTGGCATGGAGGGCAACCAGCGAGGCTTCCAGGGCCACCAGGTGCCCTTCAGGGCCTGACGGTCTTCGCGGCCTTTTGACTGCCCATTGTCCGATGTCATCTAGCTTCCAGGGCACGATGTCACAAAATCATTAATCCTTGGTGCCGAGCGCAGATTATACGCACCCCAAACGTTGTCCGACGCCATGGCAGAGTGGGGGATGGGGCGGTGGTCCAGGGCATGATCGGGGAGAAGGGGCGGCCGACAGTAGTGGGAGGAGGAGGAGGAGGAGGAGGAGGAGGAGGAGGAGGAGGAGGAGGAGGAGGAGGAGGGAGGGGGAGGAAAGAGGAGGAGGAGGAGGAGGAAAAGGAGGAGGAGGAGGAGGAGGAGGAGGAGGAGGAGGAGGAGGAGGAGGAGGAAGAGGAGGAGCTCAGAGATCCCGGGAAGGGCGCGCCTGTCCTCCAGCGCACGGCAGGCGCTCGCTGCCGAGGCCCCCGCTGCCGACGGGCTGGCGACGAGGAGACAGCACGGGGCCGCGAACGGGCGGAAGCGGCGCTTCCAGAACCTCGTGGCGCGGCGCTGCGGCGAGAGCCCTAAATTAAACCCTGTCTCGCGCGGCCGAGTTCCCGCTGAGAGCGGCGAGGGCGAAGCGTGCGCAGCGCCGTGGCAGCACCTCCTCCCTCCTCCCTCTTCCCACCTCCCTCCTCCCTCCTCCCTCCTCCCTCCTCAGCCGCCGTCCTGGCCCGAGAGGTTTGCGGGCGCCGTACCAGGTACGGCGAAGCTTCTCGCGCGGCTGCGACACGCGCCCGCCCCCCCCCCCCGCGCCTCATCCGCCACGGCGCGCGGCAGGAGGGCCAGCCGTGAAGCAGGAGGCGAACCGGCCTGGCATCGTCGCGCCAGAGCCGATCCCGGCAGGGCCAGGACCCTGCTACGCGTGATCGCCGCCACCGAACTTCTCAAACAGCATCACAGCAGTATGACGCGGATAACACAGCGCAGTCATCCTGCGCGCTCGAGGCAACCATCCCGCCGCCGAGCTCCATGGCAGGGGCACCAGCAGAGTCAACATCGCTACCTATGGGAATGCCCCGCATGCAATCACCCCAACAAGTGGGAGATGACCAAGTGCAAGAAGTGCCACCCGATGCAGCCAGCGACCAAGCCCGCTGCAGACCAAACAATGACGTCACCGCCGTGGAAGCGTTCCAGCTCGCGCCGCCCGACACAGAGTGCAGCCACGGAGGAGGACGAGCTGATGAACATCCTGCCATGCTCTCCGGAGGAGGCCCGCGTTCACAGGCGCTGGCAGGATCCTCCCGAGAGCCCGCAGGAGTTAGGAGAATACAGGAAAGCTCTAGGCTCCACTTTGGAGGGCCTCGAGCGACAGATCAAGTGCTCACAGGAGCTCAAGATGGACGAGGCACAGGTGCAGGCGCTGCGCCACGAGTACGCGGCCGTGCTCTACCAGCTCATGTACTCCCGCACGGCCTCCGCCCACACGGCCAAGCAGCTCAGCTTCGTCAGCCGCGCCAAGCGCAGACTGACGGAGGCCACCCAGCTGCAGACGGAGGCGCAGCTATACCTGGACTCGTGCGTTGCACAAGTGCACGCACTACACGAAGAGCTTGCACATGCAGAAGATCGCGAGCATTTCAGAGACCCGGAAGACAACGAGAAGCAGGACAACGACGACGAGCGCAAGCAGGCCGAGGCTCGCGCCCATGCGGGGCACACTCGGCGCCCACGCGCCTCGGACTACATGGGCGAGGATGATGAAGAAGATTCCGAAGAGGCGTCCCCCTGCAACAGCATGTGCGCCTCGGTCACGTGCCAAGTGGCCGGCAACGCCAAGCGGAGGCGCTACCAGCCCCGCTACGCCTGCTGGCACACGCTCGTCCAGCACGCCGACCACCAGTCTCCGGCCTGGAGCTACACCATGTTCGGGCTCAGCGGATTCGAGATCTACATTTTCTACACTAAGGCTGCTCGCGACCATGCAGCACTCACAGCAAGCACTGTTGGCCCAGCTCCCTGACTTCAAGACGGCCATGACGGACATCCAGAAGCAGCTCGCCGACGTCAGCCTGAACAGGAAGGCCGACCGAGAAGAACTCCAACGACAGATACAAAAACTTCAAGCACCACCGACGCCAACCACTTCTACGACCAGACGGGACAAAGACAAGTCAGCTCCCCCTGATGCACGTGCAGAGGGACGCAGACGCCTGGAGGGAGCTTTTGCCCAAGGAGCTGAAACAAGTCGACCCAGGTCTACTTCTCCCAGACGCTCCTCAGGCCAGGCCCCGCCCAAGCAGGTCAAGATCAGTGACGAGACGGCGAGGGACTCCATGCACAAACGACCAGATGAGCCACATGGAATTGCAGCAGGCGAGGATGAGACGGACATGCTGGCACTGAGCGGAGCTGACAGCCCAGGCGGCCAAAGTCAGTTTTTCGCGTGGCAGCCAGCCCGCCCACTCAATCTTAGCCTCGGCTGCGCGCGAAGCGCGCCCTGCTGAAAATTCGGTCACGCTCGCTCAGGTCCCATCTGTTCCCTCCCCCCAGCTTGCCTCTGTACAGCATCCGACTCCAGCTAACACAACAGAGGACCACTCGTTACATGAGCGTGGCTTGCATGCTTCAAGTTCTAAGTTGCCCACTCAGTCCCCTGTTGGGACCTCCAGAAGAGTTCAGCGACCGCCTATCCCTGACCTCCGACCCACCCAAGAGCTCATTGAGCGCCCTTGGCCCGTGCAACCCTCGAGGGACCTCCTCTCGTGGGCCCCATACTGGCATTTGTCTTCTGCTCAGGCGCTTGCAAGTCTCATCCACTATGATCCCAGGTTGGAATATACACGGTTGGAAATCTACACGGATGCGACGGCAGGAGGGTACAAACACCATGGACAAATTTGCGGACCAGCTTTGGCGCTCTGCATCATGGCTGATTCGGTGCTAGGTGTCACGTTGCTAGGACATTTGGCAGGACCACTCACAAGCTGGAAAGCACGCGACCCCCTCACCCCGCTGAGGCTGAATTGGAAGCCGCCATTTGGGCCATGGCATGGGTCATGCAGTCCTCCCTCAGTCCACTCCCTATCAGCTCGCTCACTGACACTATGGATGTATTCAGGGTCTACCAGGGATGATATGTCAGAGGTGCCTTATGCTCTACCAAGCTATCGCTCGACAGTCTGACACAATGAGTCGAAAGTGAGCTTGGTAACTCAAATAGGGCATATAGCCTGTCATATAGCATCCGATTCCAAGGCGCTGACCGTGGACATCGGATGGCAAATAGCGTCCATCGCTCTGCTGTAGCTGTGAAGGTACAGTATGAGGGGTGGGCGGATAAGATAGGATAAGATCGATGTAGTGATCTTTCCAGCACATAGCGAACACTCGCGGTGTCCGGGCAAATAGGGCGCGCGTGCCTTGAGCCCAAGGCAGCGGCGCGCGAGCTATGCTCCCGACACTGTAACATCTCCCAAAGAGCTACCCTTAAAGTCGGGAGGGGAGGAGACGGAGAGCATAGTCGCACGCAAAATTCGCGCGCACGACTGTTTGCAAAGAAATGAAAACAGTGCGTACAAACTGGCCAAACGCCAGAATGTAAGGCGAGTTTCCTCGCACAGTATTTCACGCAAATACAAGACAGCCCCTTCAAATAATGAAGGGCTATCGGCCTAGTTAGAGGTAGGCCAAAATTAGGCCATACCTCACCAAGCAAATGTGTATTAAGGCAAAGAGCCTGAGTTGTATGAAGCCGGCTCGTTGCCAGGCGTGAAATATGAGGCTCGTTTCCGAGCAACTAAAGGGGCGCCTTTATAATAGGCGCCCGTGCTGGCAAACTGGACCGCGAGGGCAACAAGGACAGACTAAAATTGATTAGACTTGGGTTTGTCTCTGTCCTCGGGACCCCGAAAAGGAACAAATTGCTTCACGTCATACTTAAATGACTGAGTGCCTGACATCACTTCCAGAAGCAGCTCCCGATCGATGCTTCCCTTTGTATGCCCATCTGCGGTCATATCCCTAGTATCACACCATTGCACGTTATGTACTATACCTATATCCATAAGCTCACGTATCCAACTGATATGTCCAAGCAGAGTCCGTTCTGTGGGTATTTTGAGATCCCTGCTTGATAAAGATTTGTAGACGGACTCAGCGTCTATGGTCAGAGAGACTTTGATAGCAAGGCCTCCAACTTCACGCATATCTCGTAGTTGTCGTGGAGTCAAGGCCCCTGCCTTAAGCTCATGGAGAGTAATGAGCGTAGGGTAACACTCATCAAGGTTATGTGCGGCTGCAAGTGCCTCCGCAGCATAACTGGACCTCACCTGTAATCGGTGTGATTTGCATAGTCCGTCACAGAGGTGAACGACGGACTTGCCTTGAGGCGAGTTTCCTCGCCGTAGTACGTTGGCCCCGCGTATGCCGTAGCCCTTGGTCTCGTCATCCTCCTCCCCGGTAAGCTTCCGATATCCCGAATCGCTATGGATGTCGACTTCATTCGTCGGCTTCATCCGAGGGAAGGTGATACGTTTCGGACTGCTGATCAGCTTTCGCGTCACAGCATTCAAACGTCTGACTTGTAAATTGGTGGGCTCTTGAATTTTCTGAAGAGAGACCACATATACCATAAGCCAGATTTGAGTAAGAAGGGCATAGGCGAGGGCTCCTCGCAGGCTGACGAACATGTCGGTAATAAGTTTCGTGGCTTTGGCGTCGGCCGCCGCTCCTGTAAGTTCTGGATGTGTGATGGGACGTAGTTGTTTGATATACTCGTCCTGGTCCATGATCACATCTCCCTGATCATTCTTAGTGTAGCGGACGGCACAGTTCGTATATGTGTGCTTGTTGAGCTTGCATTTGCCAAAAACCTTTTCGACACGTTGTACATAGTCGTCGATATTTTTCTCTAGACCTGTCATATTAATGTCATCGACATGTTTTGCAGTCAGAAGA